AATGAGTGGATTTAGTGAAGCCTGAAATCTTCAGGGAGAAAACGTTAAATTTATCTGGATTGCAGATTATCCATCCATCCATCCATCCATCCATCCATCCATCCATCCATCATCAATCCATCCATCATCCATACATTCATCATCTTTACATGCTTCTTCATGTTTGTATGAAGGGGGATCACTGGTGCCCATATCTAGCAGTCACTGTGCAAGAGGTGGGAGCACGTGGACATGTCTCCAGTCCATCACAGGGACACATAGAGACACATGAGACAAACAACCAATCCATGTTTTTGGTCTGTGGTAGGAAACCAGAGTACCCGGAGAAAACCCACACAGCAAGGAGAGAACATCCAAACTCCACCCAGAATCACCGCGGTCTGGCTATTGGTCCAGCGATCTTCTTGCTGAGAGGCGGCAGCTCTACCAACTGAGCCACCAGACAGCAGATTGTCACTTAATAAAACACATTCCTTTATCCAATCCGTTTCACCTGAGACCTTTCACAGCCGTGTTTAAGGTGGAGTTGAGGTGTAGCAGTTCTGGCCCCACCTTGAAAATAACGATATGCACCGTCACATGTGACACGTCACTCATAGAACATGTTGGAAACAAGTCTTAGCTAACACACGTCAGATATGAGCTCAATGTTGGTGAAATATTTAGTTTTGTGTTGTCTAATGCCAGTTGGCTGTGTCGTCCATCTTGGAGTGGATTGACTTCAAAAGGTAATAATTCGTATGCACAAAATGACTTTGTCAAAGGGCCCTGAACATCTGTCCCCTGGTTCGTAAGTTATTTTGCTAACAGATAAAGTTGACTCGAACAAATGCAATGTTGCTCAGAGTGTATGTTGTAAAAGAGTGCTGTTTTGTACCCCATAAACAATATTGGGTATGTTTCTGTAAAATGATATAGCCATTTGTGTATTCTGAGATCAGTTAGCTGTGTCGGCCATTTTGATTTATATTGACTAAGAAAGCTGGGCCAAATATTGCACGTAAGATAATCAGTAAAACTTTCATTAAAATCTGTTGGGCAGTTTATGCAATATGCATAATCTGATTATTTTGCAATGTTTTATGCAAAGGCTATATCTTTTGTTAGCTCTTGGATTATAATTTGAAGTATTTTGGCTCCTACCTCACCAAATCCTGCAACAATTCATATAAAACTTATTGTGTTATAACCAGTTTTCTGTTTGCAACATTTGCCTATAGGCACCCATTTTGCAATCAACTCCAAAAGTTAATAAATTGTAGATGTGCATCTAATGATTACTTTCCATAGGTCTCTTCAGAAGTTACACAGTGGTATATTCAATATTTTGCTAACAGACAAACAAGCACAAACTTGATCACAGACACTCGGAATGTCATTATCATAGCGCTGCCATTGGAGGCAGGAGATAAGCAGCAAAACACACACAAAAAAATAATAATAAAACAAGTGGGAATTCAAAGAGACTCAAGTATGAATACTGTATTATTAAAAATAAAATAATAGTAATAAAATTTTAAAAAAAAAATCTTCTGAAGTGTTTTTTTGTTTGTTTCCCCTGTAGGTCAAGGTGCACCCTCTTTCCTTAACCTGCCTTCAACAGAGAGCAGGCTGACGCCAGGGGGCGACGTTGGCCTCTGCAAGTTTCTGACTGGGACAGAAAGAGTGCGCGCGAGATGGATGGGGACGAGCCCACGCGCGCAGGAGAGAAAGAGAAAGAGTGAGTGAGAAGCACAGAGGAGCGGCTGTGCGCGCTGCTCTCAGATCCGACTTCAGTGTCAGCTCGATTCAGTCACACAGCTCGGGCTCAGACATGGGTGCAAATCCATCCAACGTGTCCTCTTTGTTTCTCCTGACTGCTGTGGAGAGATGCAGAATCGCGCATCGCTCGCTCTTTAATCCACCACACAAAGGACACGTCGTCTTGCATTACGGACGATATTGTTGCGCTCTGTCTATTACATTTGGAATTAGAGACTTATGTTAATTAGACTCAATTATGGTTTATTTCCCATCTTTTTTCTGCCATCATCATCATCATCCAAACAGTGTATCGCTAGTTAGACCCCCACCATCTCTTGTCTCCCTCTCCCTCTATTTGCATATTTAATTCGTTCTTTATGAATTAATTTAGCAGATGATGCAAGTGAGTCTGAAGCTTGAGTTGAGGACAGGATGTGAGGGGGTTAATGATAAGAATGGGAAGATGGGGGGAACTCACAGGCTCCAGGCTATTAGTAACACGGTAGGACTGGAGCATAAACGCCCCATTTCACAGAATTAAAGTAACTCGTGTGATCCTGTAATGATGGAATCCTGCAGCCTAACGCACAGGGGCTCATAAATGAGGAATAATATTTTACTCAAAATGTTTTATTCTTTCTCACATGGGGCCAGATGAGCGCATCTTAGAGAGGACACAAAAAAAAAAAAAAAAAAAAAAACAGATAGAGGGGGGGGGGGGGGGATGGTCACAGCACTGTGGGATATTGCGTCACAAGCTGTCTTCACTTGCGCAGACCGTGTGCATGGTGGTCTTTGGCTGTGGGCATCTTTAGTGCATTCTGACTCATGCGTTGGCATGAAAGCAGCACTTTGATGGCAAACAGTAAAAAAATATGACCGACTGGAGGGTGCCACGGTTTTTATTTACACTCAGAGATATTTGAGAACAAGAAGAAAAAATAAACATATATAAAACAAATAAAAAAAAAACTTGTGTTGTTAAAAATAAATAAATAAATCACTAATGTTCAGACAGAAGCTGCAACTCCACGCGCAGCTTCCTCAACTCCAGCCGCTGATGTTCAACTTCCTTAATTCGCTGGACGTTTAACACTTTTTAATTTCCCTGCTACATCTGTGACCGTGCCCGGAGGAGAGCGCGCGGAGGAGAGGAGAGGAGCGCAGCGGCTCTTAGCTGGTTTTGTTTTGAGGGCCCCGTGCGCGTCCTAGCTGGCGTTGCGGAGCCCCAATCAGGTGCCATTACACCCGATGTTTGAGAATATCATTGGCTGTCGGGGAAAGGAGCTGTGCGCAAAACCAACCCCGCTGCTCCACTCGCCTTACAGAAGCCGAGATGAGAACATCATCCGCTTTGAGCGCTTAGGCGCAGTGATTACATCCTCACAGACATATAGAGAAAGTCTGCGTGTTCCGTGCGTCTTTTTAAAGGCACGACTTATTTCATGTTGGCTGTGCGTAAAAGGGAGTTTTTTGTGCTTTTCCCCCCGAGTTAAGTGGATTTTCTTATTCTGTTTTCGACTTTTTTATTTTTTCTTCTTTTTTGTGTGTGAAGAAGGACAATCTGTGCTGCGCACAGGGAATGTTGGCTCCGAGTCCTGGCTCCAGCCTGCAATGTTTGCGCTGACGCCAAAACTCACAGACCGGTGCAGAATTGATTAAAACGGAGAGGCGCGGATCAAATGGCTGCGCTCCTCACAACTCCAACCGCACAACATTTCACAGACCTGAGGCAGAGGAGAGGATTGTCAGAGTCGGACAGCCTAGTTGCTGTTTGTGTCGCTGCCTTTTTACAGGCAGAGAAAAGTGGAAATGTTCAGCTCTTGTAAGATAAAGGAATAACACTTTTTTTTTTTTTTTTTTTTGGTTCTGAAGTGCACTTGGACTGCGGCAGGGGAGATGATTTGGTTAATATTCGTTCTCTCCATCCTGAATGGAGCTCTCTGTCAGCTGCACTACTCCGTGCCAGAGGAGCATGAGCCTGGCACTGTGGTTGGGAATATTGCAGAGGATTTGGGGCTGGACATCACCAAACTTTCCGCTCGGCGGTTCCAAACGGTGCCCAGTTCACGGACACCTTACCTGGAGGTGAACCTGGAGAACGGAGCGCTTGTGGTGAAGGAGAAAATAGACAGAGAGGAAATCTGTAAGCAGACCATCCCGTGCCTACTGCACCTGGAGGTGTTCCTGGAGAACCCGCTGGAGCTCTTTCGAGTGGAGATCGAGGTGTTGGACATCAACGACAATCCACCCAGCTTCCCGGAGACCGACATTTCCGTGGAAATTTCTGAGAGCGCGATTCCCGGGACGCGCTTCCCGGTGGAAAACGCGTTCGACCCGGACGTTGGCACGAACGCGCTCAGCACGTATGCCATCACGAATAATAACTTTTTTTACCTCGACGTGCAGACGCAGAGCGACGGGAACAAGTTTGCAGAGCTGGTGCTGGAGAAGCCGCTGGACCGAGAGCAGCAGGCGGCGCACCGCTACGTGCTCACAGCTGTGGACGGGGGCACCCCGCAGCGCACCGGGACCGCTCTCCTGGTCGTTAACGTTCTGGACTCTAATGACAACGCACCCACGTTTGACCAGTCTGTGTACACGGTTAACCTGCGGGAGAACTCACCCGTGGGCACTCTAGTCATCCAGCTGAACGCCACGGATGTTGACGAGGGACTAAACGGGGAAATAGTTTTTTCTTTCAGCAGTCACAACACCCCGCGGGTAAAGGACTTGTTCAATATTGATGCCAGAACTGGCAGGATAGAGGTGGCGGGTGAGGTGGACTTTGAGGAGAGCAACACGCACCAGATTTATGTTCAGGCTAAAGATCTGGGCGCGAATGCCGTTCCGGCGCACTGCAAAGTGTTGGTCAAACTGATGGACGTGAACGACAACACACCAGAGATCGGTTTCAGCACTGTGTCAGAGTCTGTGAGCGAGCAGGACGCCGCCGGCACCGTCATCGCACTTTTTAGCGTCTCGGACAGAGACTCCAGTGAGAACGGGCAGATGAGCTGCGAGATACTCGGTGACGTTCCTTTCAAGCTGAAATCATCTTTTAAAAACTACTACACCATTGTGACAGACGGGCCGTTGGACAGAGAGAGCACGGATTCCTACACGATCACTGTGGTGGCCAAAGATAAAGGTCAGCCTTCACTAGCAACCAGCAAATCCATTAAAGTGCACGTCTCCGACGAGAACGACAACGCGCCGCGCTTTACGCAGGCAGTTTATGATGTGTATGTGACTGAGAACAACGTGCCTGGTGCTTTCATTCACGCAGTGAGTGCTTTGGACCCTGACATGGGTCAGAACGCTCTAATTACCTACTCCATATTGGAGTGTGACATCCAGGACATGTCTGTGGACACGTATGTTTCCATAAACCAAGACACCGGATACCTTTACGCTTTGCGCTCTTTTGATTATGAGCAGCTGAAGGAGTTTAGTTTCATGGTCCAGGCTAGGGATTCAGGTGCTGCAGAGCTCTTCTCGAACGCCACAGTTAACGTGATCATAGTAGACCAGAATGACAATGCTCCCACTGTCATTGCCCCCATTGGGAAAAACGGCACAACCAGAGAGCATCTCCCGCGCGCTGCAGAACCTGGATACCTGGTGACACGCATTGTGGCCATGGACGCAGATGATGGTGAAAACGCACGACTGTCCTACAGCATCCTGCGGGGCAACGAGATGGGAATGTTCCGCATGGACTGGAGGACTGGAGAGCTAAGGACTGCACGTAGGATCTCTCCAAAGCGCGAACCCCAGGGCTTCTACGACCTGCTGATTGAAGTAAGGGACCACGGACAGCCCCCACTCTCCTCCTCCGCCAGCGTGAGTGTGATTTTAGTGGACAGTGTGGTGGAGGGCCGCAGTGGAGACCGCGGATCAGCCTCCAAGTCTAAGGAGACCTCTCTTGACCTCACCCTCATTCTCATCATCGCTCTGGGCTCCGTTTCCTTTATTTTCCTCCTGGCAATGATCGTGCTGGCAGTACGCTGCCAAAAGGACAAAAAGCTCAACCTGTACACGTGCCTGCTGGCGGGTGACTGTTGTTTGTGCTGCGGCTCATGCTGCAGCAGGCAGACTCGTGGCAGGAAGCAGAAGAAACTAAGTAAATCTGACATCATGTTGGTTCAGAGCACCAACGTGACATCAGGAGTTGGGCCCGTGGGGCAGGTGCCCGTGGAGGAGTCTGGGGTGGGAGGTGTGGGTGGCGGCTTCGGCTCCCATCACCACCAGAACCAGAACTCCTACTGCTACCAGGTGTGTCTGACTCCAGAGTCAGCCAAGACAGATCTGATGTTCCTCAAGCCGTGCAGCCCCTCCCGCAGCACTGACACGGATCACACCAACCCCTGCGGGGCTATTGTCACCGGCTACAGTGACCAAACACCTGACATCATATCCAATGGCAGCATCCTGTCCAGTGAGGTAAGAAAGAAGTAACCCCACTTCATCATTTCAATGTGTTAAAACAAAAAAAAAACAGCTGCAATTTCACGTGTCAAACTGGTTTTATTTCTTCTAAAAATGCAACAGCTGTCTCTGCTTTATGTCAAATCCTGTTACCCAGTCAGGTCACGCAAAGCAAAAGTCACAGAAATGAATCTACTATTGACTCGGCTGTTCTGCTCAGTGGCCTTTAATCATTTCCACGGTGATTGGACTTGTCAATTTTCAAATCTCATGTGACATTTAAAAAAAAAAAAAAAAGAGCATTTGGACCAGCAGCACACTGATGGAAAGGAAAGTCTTTTAAAGCCTATAATATTAAAACATTTGAGTTTGGAAATATTCCTTTCAAAGTTGATAGATAATATTTGGGGAGGCATTTTATAGCTGGGGTGGCAAATCTGGTCAGATAAAAGGAGAGAAGTGAATTGAATATCCTAATGCACAGGTGTCCAAAGTGTGGCCCGAGAGCCATTTGCGGTCCTTGGAGAGATTTTGTGCGGCCCACAACAGTTTTAAGAATGGTATCACTTTGGTCAGCAGGCTTAACAGGTCGATGCAGACTTCCTGCAGATTAGTTGGTAATCCTTTTTTTATATAATGTTTAGGTTTAACTGCAAAACAGATGAAAAAACATCTTCTCAAAATGAGCAATTTTAAAGAAAATGAAAATTGTTGGCTGTAATATTTTTAGTTTCACTTCATGCTACAAATCACCAAAAACCTTTACTGATTTCTACCAGAAAGAGACTTTTGGATAATGATTCATAAAACGTGGCTAAATATTACAGTTGATAAAATAATCAAGAGGGAAATTAGACATTTTTAAATGAATATAACGTGGTGTCATCTACATACGAGTTGATCAATTTAATTCAGTTTAATCAAACCTATGAATCTGTTGTAGCGACTGACAGCTGGACATTTTTTTCTGAACTTCGATCAGCCTTTTGGGTCGACCATGGTCCAAACAGCTGATCAACCACCTTTTAAAAAGGACACTTACTCAAATTGTGCTTTTATTGCTGAGAACAGACTAAAACAAACTTTCCAAACACAAGAAAACTACATAAACCCAACAAATCTAATAAATCAAATTATTTTGAATAAAAAAAAAAATATATATAAAAGCTTAGTGTTTGAGGCTTTTAATGTTTTCGATTTACAACAATTTAAAACTTTCTCCACCAAAATTAGTAAGCGTTTGTCCTTTTTCCTAAATACTGTGCACGTTGAGAGTTAAATTGGCATTTTTATGGCCCACGAGTTCTTTAATCTGGATAGTTTTGACCCACATATGAAAAAAGTTTGGACACTCCTGTCCCAATGTGCTCAACGTCTCTGCGTTCTGCTGGTGGAGCTGTGGAGTATTGGGGCTTTTCTGTTGATTGCGGTGTGGCTGGAGTGGAGCCAGACAGTCAGTCAGCCCTGCTGTTCTGCGCGTTAAGTATTCTGTGCACGGTGCAGCATGGCAGTGCCGTGCACAAAGGTTGTTCAGTTTCAGCGTTGGGCGTCTTAATCATTTACGCATTCAATCCTATCCCCCCACCCAATTTACCCTCCTCTTCCCCATCCAACTTCCCCCTCTTGCTCTCATCTCCTTTCGTCCTCTCACTCAGAGATGCTCGCTCCGTCAGTAACCTGACATCGCAGCTTCTCCTGACTCAGTTTCATGTTGACAGCAATGTTTGCTCACCTGATTAATGGTGTTTCTCTTATCGTTCTGAGCCCCCTTCTCCTGCATTTACATCATCTGACTGTTGGGCATTTAATACATTGTGTGTGTGTGTGTGTATGTTCTAGACAAAACACCAGCGAGCAGAACTCAGCTATCTGGTGGACAGACCAAGACGTGTCAACAGGTAGAGAAAAAACATATACTCACACATCATCTCATCTTTCACCTCATCGCCCTCCTTCACCATCATTTAGTTTCTGTAAAGTCCCAGATTTTGCTTATCTATAAAGATTGTACACTCATCAGTCTCCTGTATAATTCACATAGTTAATTATGGCTTTAAGGTCCAATGTGGTTCCAGGTGTCTCCATAACATTCATCTTGAGTTTGGAAACAGTCCCATAACTGACAAAGCTGCATCTAATGAAGCAATAACACTGGATTCCATTACATGTCATGTGTAACATCCAGTTTAAGTTCTCCATGGCCACCTTGATCACATTGACGTGGTGTTGACTTCTTATTCACTTTCTTTTTGTTTGCTCCTCATTTAATCCCCTCTACTCTCTTCACCGATGCTCCAACCACCATGCCAACCCAACCCCCCTTTTAGTTCGGCTTTTCAAGAAGCAGACCTTGTCAGCTCTAAAGACAGTGGTCATGGGGACAGCGAGCAGGGCGACAGCGACCATGATGCCACAAACAGGGGTCATTCAACTGGTGAGTTGCTCCACATCACATAATTACTCAGTCATTATTGTGCTCCCCCTCCCCTCACCACCAAACACACACACACACACACCTCCCTGATTCCTAACTGTGTGAGTTTGTGAATGTGAATAGGATGGTGTGGAACTGTTGGTGCGGAACGTTGAGTTTTCATTTTCTCAATTTGGGAGAGTGCCAGAATGTCCGAGCTTTAGGTATGAGCAGATCCCAGATGTGTTGATTGCATTTCACAACAGATATATATATATATATATATATATATATATATATATATATATATATAATATATATATATATATGTATATGTGTGTGTGTGGGGGGGGGGGGGATTCGTAATTGGTGTCACCCCTCTCCCTTCCTTTTTGGCCCTTTCCCTCTTCGTGACCCCCTCTGCTGCTTCAGCACCAAGTGGTGCTGAAAGGACAGCGACTGTCTGTGAGGCAGTGTGAGGCAAACGGAGCTTTACTGGCACAAATCAATAGGTTCACTCAAATGAAAGGGAATGGCATGAAAGCTAAATTGATATAATGAGAAGCGTTTCAATCAGCCTGAGAATCAGAATATTGTGCTGCCTTTGTAGTTTATAGATTGAACTTCCCAAACACAGTACATTACTTTCAGATTCTCTGTTTTTATCAGCCAATTTTTTGTAGAATTGGCTGATAAAGCAAGGGTAAAATGTGAGAATTAGCTAAGATTTCCCCATCCATGCTCTCACTCCAGGTTTATTTAATGACCTTTATTTCTTTTCTGCACTTTACAGCCCTGTAGATTTCTTTGCAAAGGGGTTAGTAGATCATATCTTAAGCAGCTCCTTGTTCTCTCTGAAATTCTATTTAGTTAGTACCTGTTTATTGATCATGGTGGAGTCAGAAAAAAGGGGAGCAATACAAAATCTAATTTTATATTGAACTGCCCTTTCTTTCTGAGGGATTGTACCACATGGTGCATGTGAGACCCCAGTCTAGACCGAAGCTTGCCAAATATCGTATCATGCTGGAAATACGAATAAAGAAGATCAGATAGGTGATGCAGGATAGTGAATGGACCCTCATTAGGCTCTGCAGTGCTTGACATTATTAATGAACCAAGGCAAAATAGTGAGCCAGTATGCAGCCGTTGTGTCACTCCCTGCCCTCGCTCGTAAAATAGTTTGGGGAAGGTCAAACTGTGCGAGTCTGAGATGCAGAATTGGAAGAAATCCAAGCCTCCTCTATTTTATTTTATCAAGGAGTTCAGTGAAAAATATATATGTAACTCAAACTACAGCTCATACTGGAAGATTTTCATCAGCATGTGATGCATATCTGCAAAAAATGCACTATAAGACACCAGGAAATCTATGTTATTACACAAATAAATCAGATGACAAAAAGTGCATCAGCCATATGCATGTTAGCTTTGTCTGCTAGTCTGAAACTTTAGAAAGAAATCAGTCCTGACATGATGTTCCAAGACATGCCCAAGACTGTATTTCAACACTTACTGTAGGTGGAAAATTGTCTTGAATTCCAATTTGCTGTTATTTTTTTTTTGTATTATCTAGCACAGTGACAGGTTTATATTTCTGAACCAATAACATGTTTCTTCAGCCTTTTTTTGGCTCCACATTTGCTCATTTGGCACAGGCCTGGGAGTGTACACAGTTGGTGCTGCACTGTGTATTTCATAGGAGGGAATCCAACATTTGTTCCTCATGTTGGATTTAGAAGGGAACAGCTTACCACTCCATGGGAGGTAATATTGCACGACTGGTATTTTGGAAGGAAGGACACTTGAGTTTCACAGACTTCTGTAAACACAAGCAGACACAGTGCATGTGCTTGTGTCTGTGTGGGAGTAACTCTATACGGCAGCCTGTTTTAATATGAAGGTGTATACACGACACCTATATGCAACCTGCTTGTCTATGTTTGTTTTGTTTTGGAGGAAACAGTGCAAAGTGGAGCTGTATGTGTTATAAAGGCATTCTCCAATGAGACTCAGGGAAGCTTAAATGAGATGACTGTAATATGAGAAAGTAGTGGGGAGTGCTTGGAACGTTGCCAGGTATATACAACATTTCCTCTATCAGAGCATCCCTTTTGCTCATTTGCCTTTGTGTAAGTTATTAATATGAGGTGGCAGAGAGGCATAGTTTGTAGAGCTGCCACCTCTCATCAAGAAGGTTGCAGGTTCAAATCCCAGCCTGGGATTTTTCTTTTTTTGTACTCTATTATTCCTTTATAAGGAAATCATTATCTATATTTTTCAAATTGCACATGTGAGCACACACATTTGAAGGAGTGAGCTGCCATCTAAGGTGCCTGGGGAGCAGCTGGGAGATTAAGGGTTTGGCTCATGGACGCAGAATGGGGCAAGTGAGGGTGGAGGCAGGTGTGGGTGTTTCACCTTTTCCAGCCACATTTTTTGATGTTGCTGGCCTGGGGAGTTGAACCGGCCCACCTCTGCCCACCTCTCTAACCTCTGTGCCACCACTCCCCCTTTCTGGGTGGAGTTTTCATGTCCTCTCTGTGCTGCCTGTGTTTTCTCCAGAGACTCTTATTCCTTCCCACAGACAAAAACCTGCACGTTAGACTGATTGGCGACTCTAAATTGACCCTAGGGTTAGAGTTGGTTTAGGTGTGAGCGAGAGAGTGGATGGTTCTCGTTTGTCTCCATGTGTCCCTGTGGTGGACTGGAGACCTGTCCAACTGTCCCTGTGATGGACTGGAAACCTTTCGAGAGTGCCCCCTGCTTCTCACACAACAATAGTTAGACATGGGCAACAGTGACCCCCGTATCTCAAAAAGGAAGAAGAGGGTAAAGATAATGGATGGATAATTTATTAATATATTGTGCTGGTAATGTTTCTCACATGAGTTATATTCAATGCTTTTATGCAGTAATGTGTTAAAGTTAAAGTGTTGTGCATATGCAGCAGACAGACAAGCTGCAAAAGCATGCACCGAGCCTATACCATTTTTTTTTTCAGGTATTTCTCCAGTATCTGTTTAGGCAAGCTAGTGCACATTTCTATGCTCATGTATATTTGACATGAATGCATGCATGCATTACTTATGCAGATGTGCATGTGTTTGTTTGACACACTCGTAGTGTCTGTCAGTCTCATCCTTCATTCTGTCTCTCTCACACGTCGGTTCTCCGTAACACTCGGCTGATCAGTAATTCATTTTTAGATCCTTTGCATAGCAATTATCAAAGGAGGGTTAGAGGCGAGGTTTCCACATGGGAACACGCAACGCATTCTCCCTTTTGGTGCACCTTGGAATATTTCAAATCAAGGGGGAAACCATTTCCAGTTGGCATATCATCAACTACACCTGCTGTAGCTTCCCGCTCGGCCGCTCGGCTGACACTTTAGAAAATAAGTCTCCTGATGTTGTTTTAAATCAAAAGGACACTGCCTGGGAGGTTGGGGTGCCTTGGAAATTGGTGCAAATGGCTTTTCTTAACGTTGGTGTCTAAAGTGAGGCAGCAGTGCATCAAAAGCTAAAGCAGTATAGATTTAGAAGTGAGTGCCACCTTGTTTCTGTTTCCAACCTTCATTTTTTTTTCCAAAATAAAACATAATTTTCTCTCACCATCCTGTTAAATGAAGATGGTAAGAGTGAACAAAACAAATGAACAAATACAAAAAAAAAAAAAAAGAGGAGTCCGATAAATTTGGATAAATCGTTCATCAGGGAGGAAAAAAAGAGGCACATTTGGTCTGTTCAATCAGCTGTGGAAGGCAGCATGACGGGTGGGAGACTGGAAACGATCATTATCATGACGTTTGTTTTGGTGAGAACAACAGCCGTGACAAATGGGACAATTAAATCACCGTGGTAACGGTGTATTAGATGGCTGATTATGAATTAGTGGCGTGCACTGTGCTGCAGTTCCCTGTGTCACTGAGCTGTCAGATGAATTTTAGCAAACAGGGTTCTGATACACCTGCCGTTCTCAGACCTGGAACTCCAACACAACTGAGAGCTCAGCGTGTAATATACAGCCATGCACATGCATGTCAAAACCATGTTAATGAGTTTAATGTAAGACGGTGTCAGGTTCAAAGCTTTGAATGGACGTTTGAAGGGAGGTGGAAGTAGAATAAGTAACGTTATTTCAATTTTGAAACTTAATTTGTATTTATGAAATAAGAAAAAAACAAAAGAAATGCACAAATAACTTAGAATAGAGTTAATTAAATATACAATTAGAATTCCACACAGTTCATCTTGGTAGGTGACATGTCATTGAAATTCTTAATTTTGCTTTACATGTTTCTCATTTGTTTTTAAATATTTGTTGTTTCCGACTGTTATTTTGATATACACGTTTTAAACTTTCTAAATGAGTGATTGATCTAAATGGTGATTTTAGCCTGTTTTGGGGGGGGTGCTCAAGCACCCCTACATTTTAACTCGGCACCCCTGAAAAATCAAGAAACCATAATTAGGATTTTGTAAGGAAACAGTTCTCAAACCTTAAATTCACCAAAATATTGAATAAATGTGCAATAAATATGGAATAAATGGGCAGCACGGTGACACAGTTGGTAGAGCTGCTGCCTCTCAGCGAGCAGGTCCCTGGTTCAAATCTCCGTCCGGGGGCCTTTCTGGGTGGAGTTTGCATGTTTTATCTGTGCATGCGTGGGTTTTCTGCAAGTTCTCTGGTTTCCTCCAATAGACCAAAAACATGCATGTTAGGCTGACTGGCAACTTTAAATTGTCCCTAGGAGTGAGTGAGAGAGTGAATGGTTGTTTGTCTGTATGCGTCCCTGTGATGGACTGAACAGATATCCAGGGTGTCCCTGTGATGGACTGGAGACCTGTCCAGGGTGTCCCTGTGATGGACTGGAGACCTGTCCAGGGTGTCCCATCTCTCGCACAGTGACTGTTGGATATGGGCACCAGTGAGCCCCGCAATCCAAAAAGGAAGAAGTGGGTGAATATGATGAATAGATGGAATAAATTATGACACTTAAACGTGCCACTGAAATCTAT